TCTGGGGTCGCGTGATCCCAGCGTGTGCTCTTACCACTGGCGGGGGGGTCAGACTAGATGATCTCGTTCAGGTCCCTTCTGACCCCTAAACTACTATGAAACTATGAAACAACTCCAACACTTTCCACTAAGATAGCTGCCTTCTCTGGTGGGCTCAGAAATTTTATTTTAAATTGAGAATTAAAATCAAGCATTTTTATTTGACCTGATTAGTACTCCTTTACTGTTAACTTTCATACAAACAGATCATGGAAAATGGTCCCAGATCTCATATGAGAATGTCGAAAAACCATTAGTCAAAACCAAAGGGAATATGCTAAAATGAAAGGAAGATTTTACTTTAAATTTAGTAAAACTGTCTTGGCAGCTGTTACAAAATTAAGATGTAGCAGTACAGTAACTTAAAATTAAAACCTGTCATCCATGAATTTTTCCATTCCCTTTTTGAACCTGGCTATGCTATTTACCTTCCCCACCTCCTGCAGCAATGAATTCCACAAGTTAACCACACATTGCACACACAACTACTTTCTCTTTTTATTTGGCCTGATTATCAACCCCTTACTGTTAACTTTCAGACAGACAGATCATGGAAAGTAGGCCCAGCAGAAAAAAAGCAGAAGCGACTGACTCAAAGCTGAATTACAGTTAGAGAAGGAACTACCACAACCCAGTCCGGACTTTAAAATAATCTGAAATACACGTGGTGCCTCATGCACATTTTTTTTCTTTTTCTCATTTGTTTGTTTTGTTTGCTTTTTTTTTAAATAGTGCATCTGTAAATCTAACCACAGAAGTCCTGTTTAATTATGCTGGAGAGAAAATTCAAGAATACCTATTCTCTTCGTATTTCACGTAGTTGAACTTTTCACAACATGATCAAAACTATATGAAATTAAGTTACTGCAAACCGAGTTGTGGAAATGTTCATGGCAGCGGCCTAGCATTTCACAAAAGGACCTATTCAAGCCTTTAGTACCAATGGCAGTATACAGTTTTAACTCAGCAAATGTATTTCTATATTTATTTATTTTGTATTTGATTTGCAGGTGACTATCCAGCAGGAACAGGAAAATGACAAGGCCCCGTAAAGCGTATTTTGCTTTTCTTGCTGTGACAAGCTTTTCATTGTGCTTGCAAATAATGGCAAACCACGCTAACGATTCCAGCTACTGGAGCTCCCCTACCCAAAATCCAAGTAAAAGCTTGAATATAACTTACATCAGTACAACTCTTGAGCTAATAACAGACGACAGTATCAAGACAACTATTTCCACAATGCCTGCAAGCACCTTTCAAACCTCACCTGCTACATTTGGAGAGGAGCTTTCAACATCTTCCCCTGTCCTTAAAGTAACTTCCCCAGCTCACGGCACGAGACCTACCAGAAAGACCCCGAGCACAACAACAAAGACTGTAACTTGTGAAGACAGTAAACCTCTTATACTAGTTTGTTTCATTATAATAGCAGTGCTCATCCTTGCTTGCACCTGTTTCATTCTGTCAACGGTGGTGATGGCAAACAAAGTGTCCTACCTCAAAAAATTACAAAAAAGCAAGCGTGCGCCAAGAAGTAATGGCGATTTTCTGGCTACAGGCAGTTTATGGCCAACTGGATCAGGCACGTGGCAGAGAATGACTAAAGAGGTAACAGGCACTGACTTAATGATGCAAGACCTGATGTCAGAAAAAGCTGCCACAGTTCAAAGGAAAAGTGAAGATGGAACAACTGAGATCCTCGCCCAAGAAAGAGAGAAGGATCAGAACAGCCAGGGAACGTCAAAACCATGCAACAGGATCTTAGTCAACTTTGAAGCCGAGATTTAAGGAAAGCTCAGGTTCCAAAAAGAGATAAAAATACAGCCTTGAAGTAATGTTCTGTTTTAACCACACACTGTTAGATCGAGATCCAGATTTGAGCTTTCATGCTATGGGACAGGAGACTGTTGTGGCATACAGCTTCACTGCGAGGGAGTGCAACCTTGTGCTTATTCTTTAGGTCCTTTAAACGGTGACATAAAAGGTGTTAGACAGGGGCCCGGTCCATTACAGCTTCTAGAGAAAATGGTTAGCCAAGTGGAAATAAAGCAGAACAACATTTTGGAAACGTTTTGCTGCAACAGAAGCTCTCAAATGAGAGTCTGTAAATCAGTAAAGATCTGTGGACAACCAACTCTGCAGTTCCTCCTCGCACTGATCTGCTAAATTAAGAACCATCTAAAAATATGACACAAAGGCAAGAGCTGTAGTTGCCAGGGAGATGTTGCAAGACAAATGGGTGGAATGGTCCACATAACCACAAATGTGAGAGGTGTTCCCTAAGACAGCCTCTGTATTAATACATGCTCTGGACAGAAGAAATATAAAACCAATAGACTACATGCTGTGTGATTTAACCTCGAAAATCTGTCATTCTGAGCTATTTTTTGCTAGCATTAAACTGCCACCGTTTACAGTACATATACAGCCAAAACGTGTTTTCCCCTGTGCTCGATCACAACTTTCAAAAGGCCAGTTTGCATCCAGGGATGTCTGCAGTGCCTTAAAGTTTGTACAGAAACACGTATATCTTGTTCAGCTATAGTAAGGATAATTTTCTCAACTTGGCAATGCCAATAAATATTTGTAACAGACTTTTAAAGTAGTCTACGCTTGCGTGATCTTCTTCATTGAACTCACTGATGATAAAATGTAATCTATTGTTTCTATTGTGGAAAAAAAATATCCTTGGATACTAAGTCTCTGTTACTACCAGAAATACCAGGGGAAAATTAAAAACATCTCATTCTGAAGAAGTTTATAGCCATGAATTCACTGGGTTAATAAGACCAAAGGTAACATTTTGCTACTTCACCCAGAAAATTAATACAATGAAAGATCAGTCAGTAAATCTATGGTAGTTTGTAAAAACCAATCCAGCAAAATTGAAGATTGTTGTCATTGTGCATATTAAAATATAAGTGCCTTCAGTACTATTAGCAGAATGTTGTAAAATGAACGTTTGTCCCGTGTGACATAATGCATTACTTTTGTAGTTATCAAATTGCTCATACTTTCACTAATTGTATTGGCCTATAGATGTGTAATAAAATGTGTCGCATCACTTTAAAATATGCGTTTGAAACAGAGTAACCTTGGTATCTGCACACATGTGATACGAGAGAAAAGATACAGATGAGGCACATTTCTGTAGCAACTTAAGAGGAGAAAATCAGAGGCCAAATCAGTGGAAGAACATGGAGAGGGAAAGAGAAAGCTGAAAGCAGACAAGTACCAATCAATGCCAGAAAGGCTGATTGATGGGATATGCAAAGGGACAAAAAAGGGAAATATCAAGAGACCAGCTGAAGGTTGAAGAGGGCAAATTCAGAGCACACATCAGACAGAAAAACAGTACTTGGTGAAGACGTAGTCGAATAAGACCTTTTTGCAAATGGGCAGCTGAACCAGAAGAAGCAGTCACATGAAGAGGGTGGCATGAGACTGGTGGAAGTGAGGCAGGGCTGTGGGAGGTGGTTGAATGGGATGAAAGATTAAGATAAGGAAGAGTAATGGAAGAAGAGGGTATGGGTGTTAAGCCTGTGGCTGGGCTCGTAAAGGGAGATGAGGATGTAGATAGGAGAAGCTGGTGAAGCTAGTGGGAACTGAAAGAGGGGTAACAGTTACAGGAATGGGGAAATGAAGCTAATGAGGAAAGTAGAACAGATGCTATAATACAGAAGGGGGCATGATAAAAGCCTTTGGGAAGTAGCAAATGGGCAAGGATGCAAAACATTATGAGGATACATTTGCAGAAACGCCTTCTACTATGCAGCTGGGAAGATCTTGGGAGCAGGAAACACCAAGATCTGACCAGCCCACAGAAAGTATGTTCCCAAACACATGCCCATGGCAGCAACTGAAGCAGCTTATATAGATAAGTAATATCAGAGAAGTTGTCAGTCTGTAGAGCTACCTGCCTTTTATGCAATTCAACCCATGAAAATCTGGGAAGGGGCCAGTTCCATGATCAGCCAGCTGCCCCAAAGCACAAATTCTCAAACTGTGGACTAAAACATCAGAAACACAGGAGCACCCCCCCGCCAGCAAAAACCACTGACATTATCAATAAAACTGTTAACTTCAATCCACTTTACCACAGTTAAGAAAGTTGCTCTTGCTCATATTGGCTGCAGACATAGACAAAAAAAAAAACCAAACATTTTTAACATGCAAAGCACAAGCTGAGAAAAAGTTACATTTGACTGTCTACATGTTTTTGTCTGGTAGAGAACACAGCTCAAAATTAGGTCTTAAAGTGTACAATTTGTGAAGATTAAAACTCTTAGTCACCTCCCTGCTCTTGACACTTCCTGCAGTAAGTATTGGTACACTTCCTCTTTACATGCAAAAACCCCTATTTCAATATGAGAAAGGAGACCATTTTAAAAGCTGCTTGACTTGCAACACCCGTTCAGACTTAGTCTTCAAACAAAAATGTTAACTTGACAGATGAAGCCATCTTACTGAAAGACAGTGTTGCACAGGTAAGGAACAGATTCTTGACAGTAAGGCTTGATTCTTGTTGGGTGTTTCTTGCTTGCTTAATCAAACAAATGCATTTGCAAAAAACTTACTTGGAACATTTTTGAATGAATTTATTGCTAACACATGGGGTAACCTACAGCTGTTTTAGGACATGTGTTACCTGCATGCATGAGTGTTTTGAGCGCATCTCTATACTGTTAAAGTGTTGCTAGTAGAATTCTTAATTCTCATTTTTACATTTTTTTTTTTAAATGTAGGGAAAATTCCCAGGCAAGTTTTTAATGTTAACTACACTGACGTTAATAGCTGTATCCTACTGAGCTTTTAATAAGGTCTTCATACAAGTGCCACCTGAATACACTTTGCAAAGAAAGAGTACAGAAGAAGCTGGAACAGGCAAATATAAGTATTAATTCCAAACTTACACACTATCCTGAAAAATACTTACACAGAAGTATTAACTTATCAGCTGCATATGCTCCCTGGTGTAATTTAAGCGAGTGCATCTAGATACAGAAAGATCCTCACTCCTACCTTGGGTAAATTCAAAAAGAGGTTGGATGAACACCTGTCTGGAGTCGTGTGATCCCACCGTGTGCTCCAGCCAGTGGCGGGGGGTTAGACTAGATGATCTATTCAGGTCCCTTCTGACCCCTAACTACTATGAAACTATGTGCATGTTAACTGTATGCACTGAACCAAGTCCTCATCAGGACTATATATGTGTTGAGGAATAAATTCTTCATGAAGTTTCAATACACAAAGTAAACCAAAAGCAGCAGAACATAGTGGAAAGATTTGATAAGCTTTATTAGTCTCATTTAGATTGACACCTTCGTAGTTTCAAACAAAAATAGCAAAACCACTCTGATGCAGCAATATAAGTTTATATTTACATTTTCTCTCCCACTTCAACTACCGTGTAGGCAGAAGTCCATTTATGGTGTGGAATTGGGATCCTAACATTAGATCATATTTCATCAGTAGATCATACCAGTAGTTGTATTAGGAAACCACCTTTTAAATGACGTGCCCTAAGTTTTATCTGGTAACAGCCAAGAAGGCAAGATGCATACTAAAAGTACTGAAAAAAAAGACAGTTAAGGACACTGGTTTATAAACCTCAAAATGTTAAAGGTCCAAGATAAACTGGATGCTTTTCACTTTCGTAAAGAGCTGTCTGAAGTTGTATTTAAGTTTCCTGTTTACAATTAAGGGCTCGAACAATTGATACAGTTCCATTTAACTCATTTTAAGGAGGTCGTCTTAACAGCTTTTTTTGGCAATTTAAAAAGAAATAAGCCAAAATGCTTTCTACAGCAAAACCACCTAAATCCTATTAGAATGGCACCTGTCCCTTCTAAAGTCATTAGCAAACCCAGTGCTCACTTCAAAAATAGATTGCCTGATATATTTAAAAGAATATAGTGTCTATCTTTTTTCTGGCAGATAACTTTAGTGCAAAGTTTAGAAAACAGCAAATTAACAATGGTGAATGTGCTTTTAACTGTAGAAGAAAAACCCACAGGCCAAATCCAAAATAAAACCAACTGGACCATATTCTCTTTATACTGCAGGTGACAGCATACCATCGTAATCACCAAGAGGAAAGTGGACCCCAATCTCATAACCCCAGTTTTCTTCTATGGACAATTTTGAAGACCACTTTCTACAGAGACAGACACACCACCAACTGGTTTAATTAAACCAGGAAATGTATCCGTCAGTCCTGAAAGTCAAATAGGAAACATCTCCCATATATTCATACCAATCAGGCAAACTTGACTTGTACAGTGCTGAAAGACCAGTCAGTAGCATAATGTCTCAGGACAATGGAGGAGCGATGGAACCCCGCAGTGATAGTAGCTGGATAGCTGCTGTGTTTATTGGCATAATTTTGATTGGTATGATGATAGCTATTGTTATAATTCTCTTATGCAAGTGTGCCAAAAAGCCACCTCCAACTAATCCAAACTGGGCTGGCCGCTCCCCATTTGCCGACGGACAAACACCGGACGTCTTTGTGGAATTGGACCAGGCCACAAAACGTGCATCAGTTTTTTCTATCTTGCCTTGGAAATTTAACAAAACCACACACTTACCGAATGATTGTCATGCATCTGAACAGAGCTGTAATGCATCCAGCTGCAATACAGCTACCCTGTCTCCCCCTCCTGTACAGGATGGCTCCAGTTCACCAGCACACAGCAATCCAGTTTCTCCTTCAAGTGATATAAATGTGCCCCCACCTCCTGTTTCAGAAGAACAGAGCCCTTGCAACCCTCCACCCGACACAATTCCTCCTCTACCAGAGTCACCTGATATGCCACTGCCACCAGACTGGATCCAGGAATTTCCTGAGATTCATTCCTCTGAGATCAGCAATGCCACAGAGAATAAACTGGAGACAGAGAACCCATTTCCCCCACCTCCTGATTTGACACATCAAGATGAAAATGAACCACTACCGCCACCTTTGCCTGAAGAACCTTTACAAATTGCCGAGCTTGCTGTTGAACACACTTCACACTTACCTTAAAAGTAACGTTTTGAAGCCAACAAATACGAGAAGTTGGTGGGAGCAAGGATTGTAAAGCCACAGCTGCATTAAACTAGCATTTCACAAGTGGGAACCTGAAGTGATTTGGCTTGAGGCTAATCACTTCGATACATGGTGCAGATAACAGCAACTATGCAAAGCCTTTTTCTATGTGTTTAAAGCTACAAACCAAAAAATATTATATGTAACTTTCAAAGCGCAATAAGTAAAGCTTTTTAGGAAGGTACAGTTTACTAGGCTGTATAACTAAATCTAACAAATGCACCTTAGCAGCACATTTTTCTTATATTCTTGTTAACTTTCAATAAAAGGGCATTAATACGAAGTTGTCTTGGTGACTTGTATTCTTAAAATACAACTGAATTTACTGGATAAGGCCAGATTAAAAACCAAATCCCAATGTTTAGACAGACCAGGAACTATATGCTATCCATGAGTGGCTAGGTCCATTTATAGTAAATGAGTTGTTACTTCTACGTCACAAGCAAGTTATGCATTTTACAGTCAGTCGTCATAGCATCCCCTTCCGATTTTTCTTTTTTGAGAAATGATCTAGAATCTGAACAAGTCTCTCTCAATCTTGGACTTTCTGCAGCATTGAGAACTTAGGTTTTCACATCCAGCTGAAAGAGAAACTACTGTTAAGAACCCTTCTTTCTGGCAGAAGTGTAAAATAGATCGACTTTGTTTCGAAGGATTGTTTATAAAAAAGGCAACAATACTTTATATTTGCATCTTAGCAGACAAGAAAGTTAGCTGGCTGTAGGTCTCTCTAAAAAGTTAAGGCCAATGTTGATAATATCTCCCTGTGATATGAGCTTATTGCAGTGTCTGTGCTCATCGAGACATCTTTATAAATATTAGTTCAACAGAACTTGATTTAAACTCTATTTGAACTTGAGAGAGCAAGACATCCTGTAAAGAGCTATTCCTCCAGCTATGTGTTTCTGAACAGTATAAAGGCGTGGCAAAGTGTGCAGGGGTGTTGTCAGCACAAGAATATAAAGTACATCGGGGTATAATTATGAGCGATATGCAATGTGGTAAAAGAGAGGAAGAAAAGAGCCCATGGAAGTCTCTTACTGGTATGGAACAATAAAATGGAAGAATTAGACTTGAGATCGATTTTTAAGTAAGAGCCACAACCACAAAAGTCACTAACCACAAGTTCTCAAAGAAATACAGTGAAAATGCAGTACGATTACAGGCACTCAAATCACACAGTCTAAATCTGAATGAATTATAGTTTTGCCTGTAAGGATTAGGATTGGGTCTGGACTTTGCAGAGCAATTTAAAGGCAGGCTTTGAAGACAAGACAAACTTTTGAGTCAAAACACGCAGCCTTAATGAAAAAGATACAATTTACCTTTACAAAAGTAAAATTAATACAAATCAGGGATGCAATTCTCATGTACAGTATGCTTAGACAAAGAATTCAGTAATGTATTTGCAAAACTGCAATCTTTGGATGAAATAATGATTTTTGCAAAGATGAACTCACTGGACTTTTATAACGGATCACGTTAATAAGCACTCTGCACTGCATACTATGCAGCACACTGTCTGCGACAACAGAATTCACTTACATTTGTGAATGAGCATGTTGAAAATGTAACAGCTTTTACATCTACATTTTGTTTGCCACAAGGAAGGACATATACAAATGAGTATTTATGAATTGTGAAAATCTGGCTGAAGAAAAATCTTTACAAATGTTTAGATGTCCTAATATCACGTTACTCGCATCTAATCATGCTATCAACTACCAGAATTAAAGGGATACCACCAAATATTACTAAGTGATTGGTTAGATACATTTGTCAGTCTCAGATAACCTGCAAAAAAAAAAACCCCGAGCTGTACTATATTGCAGCTGGTAAGCTACACTGACTTTCAGATCTTAACTGTGGAAAGAACATGCTACGGTTTATTTTTAGTGTGTGTGCACATGTGCGCGTGCGCGCACACACATGCGCGCGTCATATCGATGTGTATGTATATACCTACACGTACCATCAGCAGTCAAGTTTTATTCAAGCTGAATTCTGCCCACAAGTTGCACTGAGCAACATTTCAGTAGTGGGAAGGGACCTGCCTTTGGACCCTGACTATTTTGATGAGATTGAGAGCCAGAGCAGAACTCCAATATGGCATAAAAAGACTACTTTTCAAATATTGGAAGTAACTGGAAATCACGCAACTTCTATCTAAAACCATGTTTCAACAAGCAAAAAGCTTCATTATCCTTGTGTATAATTTGGGGGGAAGAAGAAGGAGGGGGAGAGCGCAGCTCTTTTTTAAAAAAAGTATGTATAATTAGTGATCCAGGATGTAAATATTTCAAGGAAACAAAATGTTCATTTCCTAGGGAGATGTCAAAACCACCACTCCATAACCCTTCTGCAATGTAACTCCAGGATGGCTAGCTCTTCAGGCTCTCTGTGCCAGGGAGTACGTTTTTTCCATGTGGCGCACAGCACGTTGCTGTGAGACCATACAAAAATAGGTAAGACTGAAAGCAATTTTTAAAAACTGCCACTGAAAAATAAAAACCATTTTCTTCTGCATATGCTTTTTGTCCATGGCAGTATATCAAAGTTGAAAGGTTGAGAAAGTTTAATACCTGCAAAAAATATAAGAAAAGGTATTTGGAGACGAAACATTGCAAATATAGCCACGGCACATATTTTTGGCGAAAATGATACTGGAAAAAGATCTCAAGAAGGTTATCTGTAAAAATTCAAAGCTGTATTATACTACAGCTGATGAGATGCTCTGAAATTCTGATTTTAAAAGTGGACAATTTGAACCTCAAATGTCAAAATTAGGAATGCTATTTTGACAGGACTGTTGAAGAAGGCTAAAAACAGGATGCCAGTTTTAAGAGGCAATATTACAGGAGCGCAGCCTGAAACGAAGGCAACAAGAACACCGCACTTTCACGGCTGTTTTAAAATAGGAGCATAAGTGGAATCATAAATTAAGGGAAAATCACTTAAAAAAATTCTACTGGATACTATTGGTGTAGTCAAAAGGGCATGTTGCATTTTTGATGCAGTGACACCTCTGGGAAAACGTGCTTATAGAAAAGTTAACCAACTCAAATCAAATCCTGGACTATTTTGTTGAGTATGCATGCCTTGCAATAAATTTGAGTCAGCACCAACGACAGCTCTGCAGTCCTGCGATGTAGTGCTGATCAGGTGGTTGCAGAGACCCAGCTAGCAGCAATACGATGCAGCTGAAGAGGCAAGCACAATTCACAGGCAGCAACTGTAGCTACTCTCTAGAACAAGACGACCTTTAAAGCTTACATCTTTCAGAGAAACGATGCACTGATCTTGCGGGAGGGTCCTTATTTCGGTAAGTGTATGCTTTTCTGTATTTAAAAACCTACTACAAAGTTAGAATCAGAAACAAGACTGAAAAATATTGGTCTTTGGAAGCTGCTCACATCAAAAATTTGCTGCAGTGACAGAGATTTCATTCTAACATTAATTCAATACTCAAATATACATGTTGCCTAGCTGTCTAGCTTTACAGAAAGGAACGAAGGCTATATGAAGGAAAAAATAAAATAACATGCATTTTGAAATATGGATGTGGGCTCCTGGTTTCAGAGTAAAATTATTTAACTAGTCTAGAGGTACTTTAACAGATCTTATTTAAGCAAATACAGTGTGCATGGGTGGGGGGGGCGGTGGAATGGCAACATTACTGCAGATATTTTTAAGGCAGATCCATTTGACAGCCATTTTTTCATTCCTGTTTAAATAAGCACATTATTCCAAAGATAATATAGGCTTGAAATCGCTAGAACCCAAAAGCAGACATTGTATAACATTTGGAAGAGACTTGCATTTTCGGAAGAAAGCCCTCATTTGAGCTCGAGGGGGAATGGAGATGAAAAAACAAGTCTCATTCTGGCAGACAACATGACAGTAAATGAAGGGATGCTTTGTAAAGTCCCTCTTTAACAATTATAAAAAGGACTGTTATCACAAAGAGGTTCATTGATATTTTTACCTAACTTGTCCTGCAGTCAGAGCGAAGACAACCCCTGCAAATACATGAAGTATCTTATGTAGATTTAAAGGGTGTCATTTTGGTATATTTATTTGCAGGCAACAATGGAATACCAGATATTGAAAACGTCGCCCTGTCTGCTGGTCCTTCTGCTTTTCATACCCCCGGTTCTGGGCATCTGTCCTTCTAACTGTACATGCTCAGGAAACAACAGAAATGTAGACTGTTCAGGCAGAAACTTCACTACATTGCCACATGGACTTCAAAACAACATTACATACTTAAATCTGTCCTTTAACCAGTTTGTTGATCTTGATCATCAGCTGACCCGGTTCACCAATTTGAGGACCCTCGATATTTCAAATAATTGGCTGAAGAACATTCCTGCTCATCTGCCCAAGTCGCTATGGGAAATATATGCTACAAATAATTTTATAAAAGTTCTTCAGAAACTGGATACTGCTTACCAGTGGAACCTTAAAGTGCTCGATGTTTCCAGGAATATGGTGGAAAGAGCTGTTCTTATCAACAATACACTGAGCAGCCTCAAGTGTCTCAACCTCAGCAGTAACAAGCTTTGGACAGTGCCCACCAACATGCCCTACAACATAGAAATGGTGGATCTATCAAACAACTTCTTGACCCAAATACTCCCGGGAACGCTGGTGAGGCTGCTACACCTTACAAAACTTTACTTGCACAACAACAAGTTTGCATATATTCCTGACAAGGCTTTCGACCGGCTCTCGCAACTGCAAGTTGTAACGCTTTATAACAACCCGTGGTCCTGCGACGATCAGCAAAATATCCCTTATTTGCTGATGTGGGTGAAGGAAACACCTGCTGCTGTGATAGGGGCTCCATGCCCTAACCAAACGGTGACCTGGAAGAACGCAACTCCACTTCCAGCCGCACCCACGACTCCAGGTATGAACCTCATGGTTAAAGGAATGAAGGCAGCAGACACAACTGGCTCTTCACTGGCAACTGAACCAACCAAAGAGATAAAAATGCATAAACAATTTCGAGCTAAGGAAGTTACACTAAGTGCAACCTTAAGCCAAACTGTATTATTTACCAGCACAGATAGGCCCTTACTCCTTTATCCAGAAGAAGTGACTGCTGGGAAAGTTAGTTCTCACGAAGTGGCGGCCACGCATACAATCTACATTCAAGATTCGACGGATGTCAACTCGAGCTTGGCCAGCTCGACAGGATCATCCACTACTCCCATGACCCTGAGTATTACCAGCGGGATGCCAACAAACTACTCTAAAATGCCTCAACAAAGCACAACCGTTACCTTAAAGAAAGAAGAAACCGCAACAAATATTTTTAATACTCGTGTGCCCTCGGCAGCAAGCGTTTGTCAAACGTATTCTTTCTATATTGTAATGCTTAATGCAGTAGCAGTGCTGATTGGCTAATGGCTTGCAGTCTTGTGAAAAATTTATTCCTACAATAAACAGTTGGAGCAAAACCACCCACCATCTAACAATGACTCAAATACAGGAAATTCAATTTTGAAATCCTTATTCTGATCCAAAAAATAACCACTCAAAACTAAAAATGCACAATTTATGTCTTGATACTAAGCTGCTACTTATTTTAATATGTCTTATACCAAGTAAAACTAACCTACAGAATGATTTTGTTTTTATGAAATGTGCTTATTTTATATTTCAATGTTTAATTTTCCTTGCACAAGAATAAAACATCAGAATTTTATGTACTGATTTTAGGTATGGTTTTTGTCATTAAACATCTGGAAAAAAAATAGAAGGCCTGTATCATAATTGCACTGTCTTGCTTGATTTGCCAATCAAGAATTCTTGTAAAATAGCAGTAATGGTCCTCTGTAAGTTAAAATGACATGCAAAAGGAAGGGAAAATAAAGAAAATAAAACTAACTGCTTCATTAATCAATAGTTATTTCTGGGAATATGACTGGCATGTATATCAGTGTTTGTTTCATATGTATTAGGATATTTGAATATGAGTGGATATTTTTAAATTCAGGAATTAAAAACTGGACAAAACATCTCCTGGACTGGGGAAGATGAGTGAGGTGGTTCATTTTTTAGTAGGAAAAATAAGTATCAAGACACTTATTAATCTTCTGGCTTTACAACTGAATCTGGAACCTGAGACACGTCATTGCTGATTTCCTATATTTAAAAGAGGGATAACACACAGAGTGGTTTGAGGGTATTGGATAACAAGCAGCATGCGGATAATCTCATGATTTACCATTTTCCTAAACATCTGTCCATCAAAGAGTAGAGATATTTACTGCAGCACAGCTGATGTAAAATGGGTGGCAAGGGTATTTGATCTGTAGTTAAGATAAAAAAGTTTTGAAACAGTGTGCAATGCAGAAAATGACAACTGAAAAGGAGGTTTTTCCTGAAAGAAGGAAAAGCACTATTGTGCTCTCCACTTGCTATATCATTTATTACAAACTTTTGCTGACACTGTTTCCATGCGTTTCGGGATACTGCTTAATCCCCCGTTTGCCATAGCGTAAGAATCCTGCAAAAACCAAGGGATCTCAGCTACAAAGTTTAGTGTCCAAATGGCGAGCCCACTCCTCCTGGCTGTGAGATGAAGGATGTAGGACACACACAACCATTCTTCTAGCTACTTGGGAAAGGCAGTAGGAAATAAGAGTACTTGTGGGGACTATGGGAATAGAGTGAGAATATGGGACTCAGGCCCCCCAGTCTAGCAAGCATCTGGAACGGCTTTCAAAATTGCTGCAGAGATATATTCTAATAATTTCTTGGCTTGAGGATCCACTAGGTGTCAAGACTCTACACATGCCCTTG